TTATTCTTTGCATTCCTCGGGTCAACGCTGCCGATTTTAGGTTTTTCTTAAGGCTCACGCGTTAAAATTACCGATGCGTGTTCTCGTCGTTCCTAATAGATACTAAGTGTCAATCCCGTGTGACACATATCTACGTACCTGTGGCACATACTCGCCCATGGCTATGGGCTTACTGTTTGACGGGAAGTACTTGGCGACGTACGCAACGGGATGTACACACTATTATCGCGACAGCATTTATATGGACATTGTCGGCTGAATTTTGCCACTGGCGTTGGCGTGGGCGTTGCCGTCTCTCATCATATATATATACGTATTTATATGTATATGAGAACGCAAGAAAAAAATCCAGAAAAAGACTCCGGCGCGGAATCGACCGCAGAACTCCTGAAACGTGAGTGCGAGGCGTTAGCCACTGAGCTACGGAGAAGCACGTCCTTCAATGTAAACGACAAGCGACTTATAACTACCATTTTCCGCTGGTGACGGGCATCTCAGGGGGAAGGGGGGAATTATCGTGTTTTCAGCATTATCAGAAAGATGGCGCAATTAGCGCGCGTCGGCACACCGTCACGACGCGGCGGCGCGCACTTTCATCTCCCACGCGTACTTTGCCCCGTGGAGAGCACAGGTAGACGCACACTTGCGCCTGCTTATCTCGCTGTGGGGAGAATCGTGCGTCTTGGTTGGCCTTCGGTTTCCACTGGAACGATTCTGTTGTTATAGGGCGCACAAGGTCATTGCAATCGTTGCACAGCTTCTGTTTGCGAAAGTAGCGCACTTTTAAGACACAGCGAAGTAACAACTGAGACGCTTATTCGCGTTCATCTGTACCTGTGAGTACGTTTCGTGCGTTATTTGTGCGTGAAAGACACGGGACACGATTCGATCTTCTTGCCATTCTACGCGTGACCTTCCAGTTTTTTGCTATCGCGTTCATCGCTTGGCCTTTGCGGCAAAGCTGTGACTTTTTTATCTGATGACCACCTAGTCATATTCGAAAAATCATCTTACCCTTCCGAACTAATTTTGGTTCACACCAACTTAAAGCGGCGATCACGAGAGCACCCAGACGTAAGCGGATAGATAGATAAATAGATAGATAAATAGATAAATAGATAAATAGATAAATAGATAAATAGATAAATAGATAGATAGATAGATAGATAGATAAATAGATAGATAGATAAATAGATAAATAGATAGATAAATAGATAAATAGATAGATAAATAGATAAATAAATAGATAAATAGATAGATAAATAGATAAATAGATAGATAAATAGATAAATAGATAGATAAACAGATAAATATATAGATAAATAGATAAATAGATAAATAGATAAATAGATAAATAGATAGATAGATAGATAGATAGATAGATAGATAGATAGATAGATAGATAGATAGATAGATAGATAGATAGATAGATAGATAGATAGATAGATATACCGAAACTGCAGTATACACAAAGAAAAAAATGCTCCGCCTTTAAAAAAACATGATCACACACCCATATATTATTTACGTGGTCCAGTCTGTAGTCGTAAAAATTTCACACAGTCCACAAGGTAGCATATAAAGGTGTCCTCATTTCTTTGGAATGTAGTGTTGGCGGCCCCGGGATAGAACGGCTTTGTCAAGTGGTGAACTTCCAGCTGAAACTTCCGTAGCTCGTTACGAAATAAACTCGTACAAAGCGTTTGAGGAGGCCTTTTCAAACCCCAAACAATTGTACAGCGAAGGATCCAGCGTTCAGCTTGCCCGATATACCGAGAGAAAAGAGTTTGACTCATGCTTGATATCCAAATCTTGCGGACACTGTTTGACCTTCTGACACTTCAACCATTTCTAACCTTTTTTTTTAAATTTTCACCAGAGATCTGGTAATGAGCTAAAGCCAGCTGTCATTCCTACACTGCTGTGAAATACGCAGGCACCTTCCTACTTACAAAGCATTAGTTTTAATATTCTTCTGTGTATTACATGATAGAGCACTGCCACAAGGAGAGCACCTGCCACAGTCGTCGGCACAGATTGACATCATTAGAGTTTCGTAACAGAGCCGGAGCTCTTTACTTGTATTTTCACTTCGTTTTCCCAACAGCTCATCTCCCGACTTCCAGCGTGGTTCTACTGGTTAGGACGCCAGCACTACGCGAACAAAAGAGCCCTTCCTCTCCTCCGCGCTCCCGTGTTTTTTTTTTTTTTTTTTGCTTCTAATTTCGCCGCATTCTACGTAACAATCGACGAATAAGCTTGTTTCTTGTTTTCGCCACAGGGGTCAGGGCGTGTCTTTGGGCTTAAAAGATATTACGTAACACCTAACGGTACGCACAAGTGTCGATACAGCTTAGTCATTCATTGTACTGCAGCGCTTGACGCGTTTCGCGGAAAACATTTAAACGCGCCTCTTTGAACTAGCGCATCTTTTTTAAGCAAAAAAAAAAAAAACTTCTGGGACGCTCAAACTTCGCCCTCGAGAGTTGAATGCGAAAGCGATATTCTGTTTCTAGTTCGTACACACGCGTGCATATTTGAAAGGCATAAAAGTTACTTTCACTGCATTTACAAGCAGAGACAGTTATTTGCACTGTATTTACAAGCAGAGACGTGGCTGTGTGTTAGAACACTCGCTTGTCACCAAACGACCCAGGCACGATCACCACTATGACCCAGGATATTTTTATCATTTATTTTATTTGCATAATTGACTTATATGTAGCGTTTAACGTTTCAAAATCACCATATGATTATGAGAGACGCCGTGGTGGAGGACTCCGGAAATTTCGACCACCTGGGGTTCTTCAACGTGCCCCAATAGAGCACACGGGCCTACAACATTTCCGCCTCCATCGGAAATGCAGCCGCAGCAGCCGGGATTCGAACCCGCGACCTGCGGGTCAGCAGCCGAGTGCCTTAGCCACTAGACCACCGCGGCGGGGCTTTTCGGGCACACATGAGATAATTTTTCGCTCACAATTAACGACGTCGACGCCGGAATTATCGCGAAACAAGCTCTTCAACGCTATCACGTTGAAACGTTCTGGCAGATTATACTTGGTTCATACTCAGCTATAGTGGCGTGCTACGGATTCTGAAAAACAAAAGGTCCAGTGTTCGTCTGGCCTGCCTCTCTGGCATGGCAGAGAGTACATTCAGGCTCTGGGCTGCCTTCACGTTTTTATCTTATTGCTTTCGCAGGAAGTCAATAGTTGAATCACTTATTCTGCACTTGAGTGTCTAAATTCATACGCTAGCCATTTTTCTTCCTGAGGTCATGCGGTAGCACAGCGCACCTGGAACAGGATATTGTGCTGGCGCCGCCAGTGACAGCTGTGCGTTCGACGAGTAAAAGAGGAAAGGCAGCGGTGAAAAGGAGGGCATACATATAACGATTGTCCAAAGCTGCCTTCATGCATGGCGGAAATGATTTCACGATTATGTGACCCAACCGGTGATGGTATGTCCAAAAACCGTTTCATTGTCCATTTACTGTCAATGGGTTTGAATACTATGCAACACGTCCATGTTTATTAGACAAAATTGAAACGCCGTATGAAACAACGCCACCCACCCGTCCTCAGGGCAGACCTCAACATTGGCCCACAACTAGGAGTGTGCGTAGAGATGCCACAAGTTGAGCGAAGAGGAGTGAGACTAGCTCCTGTGTAGTCCCGTCCTATAGACACGCAAACGCTGCCAGTCTGGCACGCCCGATATCGGGCCGGTGAGCTGGAGAAGCCCGTCACGACGTGAAGCGAGCTGGGTGCGCCACAAGTTAGCGTCCACGTGACATCGGACTTCACATAATGTTGACCGACCGACCGACCAACTCCGCTCACTCACTCGCACGCTCTTGCATGCATAATGCGGCACTCTAGTGGCTTCAGTATGCACTGTATTACGTGGTAGAACCATTACATGCTCTCTAATTCAAGAGAGGACAATGATAATGTGGTATTGTGGTTTAGGTTACGGTTTGGGAACTGCCCTCGCATAAAATTCCCTATGCATAGTAATAAAGACAGTTCCATGAGCATCCACTTGGGTCTCGTCTCCTGCCCTATTGGCCTGGAGGACGTACCCTGGCGCCACCTACGTGATGACGTCACTCATAGGATGCCGGGTTGACTGTCTGCTACAACACCGCATTTCCTGCGCTTTTGCTGTGGACACCGTGCGTGCTTCCCTTTGTTTCGAAGCTGAGTACCTAAAAAAGCGGTAAGACCCGATAATACGGGCAAGCAAACTAACGAATCGGTGCCCATAGTGGCACTCTTGTGTCTAATTTGAATCGTAAAATCGCGACTAAGAACCGGTGCAACCATGGGGAACGGTGCAAGTGGTGTCACGAAAGCAACCCTGCCGTATTCCACAACTACGCATCCTGTCTGTGGAGTCATAGCGATCGCAGCGCAGGCCTCTCATAGTGGAGGCCCTCGCGGCCAGTACTCCTTACAACGGGCCCTGGGTCTTTGTCTTTGCATCGCGTCCGTCGCACGATACAACGCATGGCCCACGCAGCAAGACGAAAGAGAGAGAATTATTAAAGACGACGTTTTCTTTCTTGGAATACTCCGACGTGGAAAATGTCGGTCTGTTTTTTATAAAAAATTGGTGAACGATTTAGAGCACTGTTTGTACTTGCACTTTTACGGCTAAAACCAACCACAGGCGCAGACGGCTCAAATCCAACCGCATCAGCAGCGCTCACCAATATTGCTCTAGCTTACGCGTTCATACCTGTGCTTGCTATCGGTTAAAAAGCAAATTCTGCGCATACCTGAGGCTGAAGGTCAACCCGTCCATATGCTGTGGGGTGTTTCTTTATGCTATAAAAGGAATAAATAAGTAACTCCAAGAAGCATAGTGTTTATTTTAACGGAGAGCTGTCGATGTTTGTCGGGCTATTCACATGACATGCTAGTATAGATACTGGGCGATGACTATGTGATAATCAAGAATCGGTACAGGCGTGTAGGAGACCTATCACTCACCAGGAACTCCGTTTTGAGGAGCACGTCGTACTTCTTGAAGAGCGCTATGTGCTTTGGGAACCGGGCCAGCTCGATGGGCTGTGTGGGTATGAAAGAAGAGGCCTCGTCCGGCAGGGGCAGAAGACCACTGTTGAGCAGCGACAGCTGAAGCATGTTCAGCGAGCTGATGACGCCGGAGTTGGCGCTGCGCAGCCGCTGTGCCCGCGGCTTGGTCCGCGGCGGAGGCGGCGCAGACCCGTGCGAAGACTTGGACTTGCTCTTAGACTTGTTCTTGAGCTGGGAGACAAGAGCGCGGCGACTTATGTAAGGTTAAAAAGGCAATTCTTAGACCTTGTGCCACACTCTGCCTGTGTTGCTAAACTAATGTGTTTGCATATTAATGTGTTGGCAATTCACCTCATCAAAATCCGTCCCCCTTACCCGGAAACTTAACCGACGTCGTCAACTAAAGAGCGCGCGGGTCATTTTAAGTGCGAATGCACTTTATAAGCGATTCTGAATCCGCCGTCCGCGGTGCGCCTCCTCCTCTCCCCTAGCAACGGCGCGAGGAGTGGAGAGGAATGTCTGTAGCAACGGCGCAGCGACGTCACACACCACGTGATTGCGCGCGCTCCACCCTCCGCTTCGCGGCTGCGCGCGCCCGTGATGCCGAGCTACAGTGTACTAGAAGAATTCTAGTACACTGTAACCGAGCGCAAGCGGGCGAAGCAGGCCGCGGACATAAACATCATAATAGTGCAAATTTCCTCTCACATATACGCGTAAACTCACCAAGATTTCCCGAGAGGGTCTAATGGTTCCTGGGAATCGCAATGTGATCACACGGGGGAGGTTACGTCAACTCACTGGCGAATGCCAATGGTCTTTAACTTTACTCCCCCTCATAGCATCACCCCGTGCATTCGCATTTAACCATGTTCACCCTCGGGGAAATGCTTGGGAGTATTTTTCTCAGTTTCGAAACTTCGAACGATGGTCAAACCACATACAGACGCGCTCAGTGTGGGTTCTCACCTTGGGCGTCGACGCCTGCGTCGGCGCGTTGGAAGCGGCAGGCGCCGAGGACGAGGACTTCTTGCTGCCTCTGCCCATCTTGGGGCGGGCGCCTGAAGGCGGGGCTTCCAGCGCCGCGTCGCTGGAGTGCTTTCTCACGCCGCTGTCGGCCAGCCTGCAGTGCGGCTGGGCCGCCCGCGCATGCGCACTGCCTCCACTCCTCCTTTCACGCAGGAGGCTTTAGCGGCAGCGCCACCGCGCGGTCACGCGCGGAACCACGAAGATACCATTGTGGCCAACGCTTCTGCTGCTGCTCAGAGAACTTACGGTGCTGCTGTTGCTCACGATAACGATGCCTCCTCCGGTGATGAGAGACGATAGCTCGTTCACCGTCTCGGAATAGCGGAGAAGGGACCACCGTCGATCGAGAGTCGGCTGTTTCTGCGAATGGAGAAGGTTTATACAGTGTAAATGTAAGGAACTTCACAAGAACGGGACCTTAAAGAGTAAAGTGCCCTTTCTGTCAGCTAAAAGGAAGACAGCGTGCAGATGGCACATGCCATGCGCCGCTGCGCCTGGTCTTACAAACTTATTTTCTTCATAATGATAGAATCAGTATTACTATAAACTGTGCTTGCAACTCGAGGAGTCGCTCCGGCACCTTCACATTATGCGATCACAGGATCCGCTGCATTACAAGAGCAACCACTTCGAGGAGCGAGTCACACAAACAACGTGCATTACTGCCACAAATAAAGCCCGTTATCTGTCACTAATACTATCAAACCACGTTGTAACGAAGCAGCAGGGAGAACTAATAATTCGTTCTTTACATTCGATATCACTTGGAACAATAGGCACATGAATCAGCTCCAAGAAATTGACAATATATCTCGAGCAAAGACTCTAGCTTCTGAGACTACTCAACCTCGGCTTCAAACCCACCTTAAACGAGATAATTATTCGTAGTCTCCTTGTAGCATTTCAAACTATATAGACCAGAACTTGATAAGGCGAAAATACAACAAAATGAAATTCGTACGACAAAGCAGACCAGCGTGCGTATTTACTTGACGAAGGATCTGATATTTGCGTATTGATTTTTCACATGCATTCACAACCGCATTATAGGTAGTTGCAAATAGTATTTCCTTATTTATTTTGCTTATAAAGCCATTCTAGTATTGAGCTTTGCGCAATTCAAGTATTCCTTCGCGGCGTATCTCGAGTTACCGGTTTCCTTCTAAAAAAACCGGTAACTCACTGAGAAAAAACGTGACACATCAAGGTTTTACTTCTTTCATTGTAATTAATAAATCGCTGCATCGACGTTCGTTGTAAGGATGTTCGACAGTATACTGCAGTACCTTTGGAGAACAGCTAACCATCGAAGTGTTCGCACCTGAAAGGTCTCATCGGACGCTGACTTTTAGAAAAGCGACACGCGGTACAAAAACTAACGTGATCTCACAAAGAATGATAAATAAAAAAGAGGTTCGAGCCGAATTTGAACCTATAAGATACTGCACAGCAGTCATATTCTCCCACAGAGGCACACCAACGCTTGAATTTTCTTTAGAGTAAAAAAAAAATGAAGACCACTTTGCAAATTCAAGAGTGTTTGACGAAAGCCTGTGGCCACTCGACTGACTATGCCATGTTCGTTTTCTCTTTTTTTTTGTATCCTCCCAGCAATTGCGCGATTGCAAAGAGTGTAAGGGGGAGAGTCCACAACTGTGGCGGCGCGACTGTTGCTATACTGTGCCATCACATTATTGCTGAGAGAGTGTGAGGGGGGAGAGGTCAGAACTGGCACCGTTCCAGTGCCCGAACAGACGGACGGTTGGACGCCACAGTATGAGCCATAACAGACTCCATGCCCCAAAAGACACTATCCAGGCGTTACATCAATCGAGGAGTCGCGCTCACCGACGTCATATTGCGCTGGAGAAGCTAGTGGAACCTTAGCAGGCGTCGCATCACATGAGCCACGCAACGAGTGGGAGTTAAAGGGACACTAAAGTCAAATAACAATTTACGTTAGAGTGAAAGCTCAATGTATGACAACGTCTAAAACAACAATACTATCGAGAGCAGTGACCTATACTAGCCGATAAATTAGGATAAATGCACGAGAACACATGCACAAGATACGAAGTTCGAAAACGATCCCGATTATATCAGAGGTACCGCCTACAATTATTCGCTTGAAGCCAAACAAGATGTACTAAATAAAATACCCTTCCGTGCATAAAGAGACGCAATAAAATGCTGCTGGTTCGTGTCTGATTAACGGGGAAAAAAAGAACATCCGGACATTACTATGGGGAATGGCACAGGTGGTTCAAAAGTTCAATTTTCGCCTGGTCAAACTGGACAGGCCGTGCCATCTAGCGAGACCCAGTTGAACCAATCACGCCTGCCATCTCGCAGGCCATTGCAGGAAATTGCTGAATGTCCGTGGTTGCTGCTGTAACACCCGCTATACTTTCGTTCTGCTGCTACAAGTGCCGGCGGCCGTTCAGTAAAACCGGACAACGTTGCGCGCGGTCACAGTGACGTCACACGCTCCACTTGAGGCGGGTAATTTTAAGTGCGCTAACGGGACGCGGACCACTGAAACGTGATATTATTTCAAAATAAGCACTTCCTTGGCACAAAAGTAACACAACAAGGCTTCTGGACAGCTATCACAATAATCAACGTCGACTCAATGGTTGCATTTAGTGTCCCTTTAAAGCTGCCAGTTCATCACAAAGGGCGCCAGCATAATCATTATTGTTTATCATCACGATCATCCCGGGCATAAACACACTGCACAGCTATCTAGACGTACTCATTGCCTTACAGACGCGCAGTGGACACATCGCAAAATTATTATGAATTTTCGCATACAGGATGGCTTTCGCCTTGTAGTCGTCCTAGGCAAGCGCATCGGACACCTTGTGAATTCACTTTTATTTTTAAAGGGGCCCTGCCACACTTTTTGAGCATGGTCAGAAAACGCTGCCGATCGGTAGTAGAGGCTCCCGAGAACACGCAAGCCAAATAATATAGCACAGCACGCGGCCTGGAATTTACAAAATATTATCAAAATTAGCTAAAAAATTGCCTTCTCTTTTCCCGTCAAATCACGGAATATACCCAAAGATCACACGTAGCAAGCCCATCTATCAGCCATTGGCTGATTTGAATATGGCGCGCTCGCTCGTTAAAGAGATCGCCGCGGGAGGCCGTTACCTGTCCACGCGTGCGCGCGCGGTCACACTGAAAAAGCCGAGCATTCGAAGAAAAAAAAAGAAAACGTGCTCAAGGTCACGAGGCACGGGTGACGTTTTTATATGGCCCTGTCGTCCCTCCCTGCTTAGCTTCCAGCGCTTTCTTCAGGACGAGAGAAAAGAAAAATGCAATTTCAGCATGCAACAAACCTTTGTAACTCCATTCGCACTGGACGGATTCTTAAATTTTTTGCGGCATTCAAGTCGTGAGGCAATAACCTTTTTTAGCAAATCCATTCCGTGGTTACTTGAAAAAGTGTTTCAGGGCCCCTTTAATGTGTCACCTTGAACGCCTGCTCTTGCACGCTTTTATAAACAAGGCCACTCAATTTTAAGATGTATTTCAAACTTCATGGACGTTATTGTTCTGAAGATGAACGGTACGTCGACACAGACGTTACACAGCAAAAAAATACGGATTATGTTGACCGCCCGCGTATTTTTTCCTTTTGTTTTATTACGATTTCGCAACCATGCATGTAGCATGATTGTTGTCGCATTCCGGCATTACATCAAGGATGGCAACTCTGCGGAGAGAATTCGAACGCTTGTAGTGTTCAGTGGCAGAACAGTGTCACCACGGCCGGACCCAATAAAAACGCCTTGGCCGGGACGTCACAAAAAATTAGTGTGAAAATCAAAATTCACATATTGATTCCGGATATCTTACTAATAAACACAATACAAGGTTCGCACACTGCTCTAACATTTTTTCGCCTATTGTACATACTAACTACGGCAAGATAACTCCAACATTCGCCGTCATAAAAATGTGAGACGATTTATCCCTGACGATCAAAACATCACTGTTTCGTCATAAACTTTTTTATTTGCAAATGTCACGTTTACTCAATTGAGCATATCGCTACTTATTTAGCTTCTTTCTGATCAACACCATGCTACATTTGTGTTAAAATTGGCTTCGTTAGTTGTTTCTCAATTGTTGTAGCTTTGCCACTGAGTTCCAATATCTGCATGTATACTTCAACTATTAGTTATTCGTGATGTTTTTGTGGTTTTTTGCTGTTCTTCACCTGCTGGTTGTTTTCTATTTTTAGGCTTCTTATTTTAATTACCCGAGGGTCCCGCATCAGTCTTCGACTATGGAACCCTCATGCACATATTTTTCCGTATCCGCATTTTATACTATATTGAATAATAAATTACTGAGCGACATTGCATGCATGAAGACAGGCTCAAGGAGACGTCTATCAAGCAACTCAAAAGACAGACTTGCTCATTTGTCATCCAAATATTCTTAAAAAGAAAAGGAGAAAAAAATGGCAGCATATCCACGGAGTGAATGATGGAGAGTGGGGCGAAGCATTCGTCCGTCCATGCGTCCGTTTGTGTGACCGTCCATGCGTCTGTTTGTGCGCCCGTCCCTGCGTTCTTTCATGCATCCGCCCCTGCGTCCGTTCATGCGTCCATCCATGCATCTGTTTGTGTGTCCGTTCGTTCATCTATTCAACACTCCAAGTCCCACCATCTCGCATCTTTTTATCATATATTCCCCATATAGAAGCACCGCCATCCAGCGGACATTCCAAGGACTAAACGAGAGGTGGCACACGCACACTTTTTTTACGGCCTGCGCTTTGGGTCCACTTCCCACCTTTAACCACCTCGAGTTCATGGTATATTCTAGTTCACTGTATTCATGGCACTGCGACCAAACGCTCGCTAAACCTTTCGAAAACCAAGGAGGTTACGCCCAGCGAGTATAACTAAGCAACCTTTCCCTGTCAGATAGGGCTCAATTTACATGCCAATGGCTGCTAATGAGAAATGAGAGACAGGAGAATTCGGCTTTTACTTTCTTACGGCTTGCGCTTCGTATCTACTTCTCATTTTTAACCACCTTGAGTTCATTCATGGTATATACAAGTTTATTGTATTCATGGCACTGCGGCTCAACGCTCGCTAAACCTTTCTAAAGCTAAGGAGGTTACACCCAGCGAGTATAATGTAGCATCCCTTTCTTGTCCGATAGTGCTCAATGTACATGCCAATGGCTGCTAATGGGGATCGCAGCGTGCGCGTTGACTAAAAGCCGAATGCTCATGTCTCTCATTCCCCATTAGCAGCCATTGGCATGTACATTGAGCACTATTTTTTATTGTTAAACAACGCACAGAAGAAATCTCTCACTGGCACCACCTT